ACCCAAGGTTCCCTATCTCCATCCACCGGGCACCCAGGTGCCACAACCTTTTGCAATGAGGATTCGGGATCTGGTGAAGGGGCTGCGCATAAATGGATAGACTAGACAAGAAATATAAATTTAGAATGCATGGGAGAACAAGGCAAAAACCTACTCTCTAGTGGAGTGGCTCCCTTAATCTCTGGACCCAGAGATTTTACTTACTAGAATATACATTTTACCTTTAGCAAAGCAAAGAGACATTAATGGTAAGGTTTGATGAACAATAAAAGGATTATGTGCTTAGAGAATTGCCTTCCGCCATTCAGTCAGCAGCAGGTGATAATATGCTTATTCTCAGCCCTTGCTGAATATCAAAGTCCATCAGCCTTCTGGCATTTATATCTTAACTACATTTTGCTCTTTGCCTCCAGAACCCAGGCCCCTGATCTGGGAGGCATCCTTCATTCTTCCCTCCCTTCCTTAATATCCCTCTAGGGCACCAAGCCTCTCCTTCCTGAAGCCAGGGCCTTGGATTAGACCACCTGACTCTTCACTCCTCACCCCCCTCACACCACCCACTGCCACAGTGACCTTTCCAAAAGTGGCATCTACTCCCTTCTTAAAAACCGTAAAGGCCCTCGCCTCAATAGAGCTCCAGTCCCCCAGCTCGAGGAGCAGAATCCTCCCCAGTCTTGCCCAGCCCACCTGCCGGCCTCTCACCTCACCCATGAAGACCCTCCATCAGCCTCCACTGCTCACTCCAGGCTCCTTCCGGCCACCACGCTTTTGCATCTGCTGTTTTGGTGCCAAAACGACCCTTTGCCACCTCACTCTAGCCAGCCCCTAATTGCCCTTGAATGTTCTGCTGTAATGTGGCTCCTCAGCGGCACCTTCCCTGCCTGGCAGGCTGCTGGATGCCCCACTGCCTCCCTGTCTCAGTGGACATTTCACAACTCTATGCACACCAGGCACCATGTCCTGTTGTGACTGTATTTACATGTCTGTCTCTGTCACTCCAACCATCCTTCCCCGAACCTGTGAGCTTGGAATTGTGACTTGTCCCTTTATGCATCCCAGCACTTTTCCCAGTGCCTAGAGTGCAGTAGGGACTGGGTCAATGAATGAGGGGTGTGGTTTGCACAGTCAGTAGAAGGGGAAACCAGTCAGGGCAAGAAGACCAGTCTGCTGGGTGGGGAGGGGCCTCGGGCAGGAAAAGGAGCAGGGCCTGGCTCTTCCTTGGCCACTTGAGCAGTGGGGGCAAGGCCAAGGGCGTCTCCCTACCCAGCTTCCTGTGGCCCATCACGGTGCATGGTGGGCCCCTGACCCCTGACACACTGGCTTTAGGATGGAGGAGCTCC